GCTCTTCAAATGTGAAGCATTTAATATGAAGTACCAGAGAGGAAAAGGCATATTTGACTTGAAGGCGACCTCAGTAATGGTAGTGGAAGAGCAAAGGAGCAATGACAAACTAAACCTCTGGAGCTGTTGCTCAGGGAGCAGAATGAACCCGGGGGTACAGAAGGGAGAGGGTTAGTAAGACTGAGTCGTTGCCTGTCCCTGCTGAAGATACACTTTTTGCTCTTTTTGTCCTTTATCTCTTTAGTCAGTCAATTTGCCATAGGGGATGATGATATTGCTGTAAAACTGTTGTCCTAAGGGAGAGACAACCGGTTCAGATGAACGCCATCACGATCATATATTTTACTTTGCTCTATTCAGGTAAAGTTTCGCACTCCAGGGAGATGCACTAAATGACCACTCTCACCTACCACTCTCCTCTGCTGCCGTTTTACCGGTCAGATTTTTTTTCTCTAGCTCTGCCTGTGGACCTGCTGAGATGGTGAGACAGAATATAAACTGCTGTAGGATGCACACAGACCCGATATATCAAACCACTCACATCTTGTTAATGCTTCTTGATCCATTTTTTTTTTACCTTTCTTGATTCCATGTTTGTGTCTTGAGAACATTTGATCACTTTAAAAGCAGATAGCCCCAATATTGTGTATACTCAGCACATACTTATGTTGAGACCAGGCAATATTGACTGATTTTGCTTTCAGCATTGATTTTAAGCCGTGAAACCATATTGAGCAGCAAAAATTGGATTTTAACAGAGAGCTCAGTTTTTCATTACATCTATGGGAATACATTTATGCCAAGTAAGTGAACTGAGCATGCAATATTAGGATGCCGTTTGGAGAATAATATTTGCTTGTGCAAATATTAAGCAAAAAAAACCCCAAAAAACCCCCCACACAGACGCACACAAGAATCCCTCACATGATGAACTACTGTATGTACCAGCAAAAAAGCAATACTTGTTTCAGGAAAGCATTTTTTAATCTATGTCAGATATAAAATATGAGAAATTGTTTTGCAGTCTGAATACAATAAATAAGCCATAGACATAAAACCTTAAATTAAGACCTTTAACTGAAGCAGATATTCACATTTTTCTGAAGCGTGTGCACACCTGTGATTTTTCTGTCAGTAGATGGCAGCAGAAAACAATCGGTCACAGTCACATTATCACGTACCGCGTAGAGCATTTAGAAACTGAAGATACTTGATTAAACCGTCTAAAATCTTGTGTCAGTCTTATAACACTGGCAGAGGGCTTTTTAGATGATTATTATAGTAGGATTATATAGACAGATATGCATAGGTAGTTCATTTCCAGAAATAAATAAGAAATAGCTCCTTAGGATGGTACAGTGTGAATAGATTCTAGGTCAGGAGCTGGATCTAAATAAGGCTTGCGAGATTGTTTTCTTTTCTCTTTTGTCTCATTTCTGTAATTTTACCTTCACAGTGTGGGAGCTGTTGGGCTTTTAGTGTGGTTGGTGCCATACAGTCTGTCCATGCCATAGGAGGCTCACGGCTGGAGCAGCTCAGTGTGCAGCAGGTTGTTGACTGCTCCTACCAAAACGCAGGCTGCAATGGAGGCTCCACAACTCGGGCTCTGAACTGGTTAAAACAGGTATGCTGATAGTCACACAACGTTAACAGATTTTTAGGTCTTATAAAAGATGCTTCCAGAATCTTAGCTTATAATACCTGAAATGACCAAGGCTGCAATTCTGTATCACTAAGGCAACAGGAGAAATTGAAAATATGGTCCTGTCTAAAAGCCCGAGGCCACCTCTCATTTTTCTGTTCTTTGCTTCCAAGGTGCCAAACTTTCTAATATTTTGTAAGTGTCTTGAACAGTAATTCAACAAGACTTTGTTCCTGTTTCTTTAGTTGAATATATGAAAAATGCCAATGATAAGTTTTACAGGCATACAATATATTTTTGCACCAAGAAAATATAGCCAAAAACCCAAAAAGTGAGGAAACTGTGGAGTACAAAAGAAAAAATGACAGTCCTTAAAAAATCTATCTACAGCAAATGAACATTGTCTGAAAGTCATGTCCTTAAAAAATGGGTAAAAATCGAGCAAAATGCTGACAGAGGACCTGAGAGATGCACCTGCCCTTCAGATGATCCTTCTGCTGTTCACTGAAGCCTCATGAGAAATGTTCTCAGTTGATAGGTGGCTGTCAAGAAGCCATTTTTAAGAAAGGAAGAGAGTGAGATGGTGAGAAAAGACTGAAGTGTGTCAGCTTAAGCAAGAACTGGACTGAAAATCTGTGGCAACAGGTGGAGTGATGAATTCAGATGTGACATATTTGGTTTGGAGGAAGTGAGGAGAGGTACC